AAATAATTAAAAAAAAAAAAAAGTTAAGGGACCAGCAGTTAGTGTAATGGCTATGTCGCTGGACTCCCACAGTCGACCGCGATTTGCGTCCCGGACCCGGTAGCATAAAACTCACGCCAGGTGCATGTGCGTGTGTGCCCAAGATCCTGAGAGGAGAATGGAGGAGAAGGGATTGTGGCGTGGCCATCCCCCCTGGGGGGTGATTTCTCGCTTTCTGTCTCTCTGTCTCTCTCTGTCTGGCGAGTGCACGCACCGTATAGCAAAAAAAAAAGAAAGAAAGAAAGAAAAAGAAAAAAACAAGTTAAAAAAATCAGATCTTAAGTCCAGTTTGTACTTACATTATCAAAATAACAATCATAACCATCAGGAGAGGCTTTTTTCAAAGTTTTCTCTAAAGACTCTACTGTTTTGTAGTTAAAGGCAACATCAAATCCAAGCTTTTCAAGATAGGCAACCTTTTCATCAGATCCTGCTGCTCCAACAACTTTGCAGCCCTAAAAGGGGGAAAATTGAAACCATTAATAAGCCATAAGCACGAACCAACTCCACGTTCCTGGTTTTGTAGAGTTAGGTTCTCCAAGAATACCTGCTTAGATGCTGAGCCACAGATATAAGGAATACCATCAAGGGCCAACAGAGCCCAGAGGAGAAATTAGATCCAGAATCAGTCTACGATCCAACTCAGCTTGCCTCTGCCCACCCAACAGATCCCTTCTACATTTTCTGGGCTTGCAATTCATCTGCTTGATTTAACTATGTATTTGACTTCCTTGGTTCTGTATTTTGGGGCTTCATTTCCTTTAGGTGCAGTGGTTCTTTAGCTCTGTGACTCTGATATCATGAAGAGCCCCCTTACTTTGTTTTTGTTTTTGTTTTGCTAGAATGTACCTACACTCACCAAAGAAACAGAGAGGGAGAAGAGAAAAAAAATCTTTATGGGGAAAGGTCATAGCACAATTCCTTCTCCTTCATCTCTCCTTCTTTTGGGATTTTGGGCATGCACACACACACACTGAGCATGTTCCTCAAGCCTCCATCCAGGTCTGGGACTCCAGCAATGCTGTCGGCCATGTGGGATCCAGCTTCTCCTGAGCAGTTCATTACACTGCACCAAGGGACTGGCCCAGCTCTCTTATATTCTAAATGTGTTATGAAGCCCAGAATGTGAGCCACTGTGTATTTTCCATTGCACGAAGACCTTTGGGTTCATACATGTATCTCTGTACAAACAGTGATGGTCATATATTCTTTTCCTCTCCCTTCACAATTCAAGAAAAATCTGTCTTGCAAGATCTCCATTATTGGTCCCTTCTGTATCTAACTCTATACACTCTCATAGGATGATCATATTTATTCCTATCACCTCACTGCTTGTGTTATGCAACACTTCATCTATTAATTCTAGCTCATTCCCTCTCCTGAGTTGCAAGTCAGTATTTCCAAGCATTCATAAGACATTTACATTTGGGTAGCCAGTAGGTACCTCTTAATAAATTAATTCAAAGTGAAATGTATCTTTTCCCTCATTTTTACTTGTTTCATTCACCACAGTAAATGATTCCACTCCATTATCCAACCCTAAAACATGTGGCTGACTGTGCGACTGGAGTCCTGGACCTAGCAGCTTAAAAAACATGCCAGCTGCATGTGTGTGTGTGTGTGCATGTGTGTGTGTGTGTGTGTGTGTGTGTGTGCCCAAAATACTGAAAGGAGAATGAAGGAGAAAGGATTGTGGGGTGGCCATTTCCCCCTTGGGGGCGATTTCTGCTTTTCCTCTCTCCTCTGTCTCTGGTGAGCACAAGCATCCTGTAACAAAGCTAAAAATCAAATTAAAAAAAAATGAAAACAGTGCTTACAAACTCACTACTTTGGATGGAGGCAATTCACAATGGATATCTGCAATGTTATCAGATAACAATGCACAGCTTAGCTTTGTTACACTGTCTTTCCCATTTCCTCCTTTCTGAGTCTCCAACTTCTAAACCAGATCCACTGGATTGCAATCCCCCTGGGGTCAGGATCCCTTTTGCATTTGCCACACACTCCATGGGTCCTACATAATGTTTGTTGCTGGAGGAACATGCTTACCTTGAGCTTGGCTATCTGCCCCACAACAGAGCCCACTGCTCCTGCTGCTGCATTGACAAGCACCGTTTCTCCACCCTTCACACCACAGATGTCAAGTAGGCCAAAGTAGGCAGTTAGACTAAGGGAAGAAAATGAAGGAGATGTGAATATGACTCATTTATAGACACTTGGAAGACCTTTTCATCAGCCCAGTAGCACCATGGGTCCAGGTAAAAAGCAAAGAGTTAGCGGAAATGAATATTACTAGTGATCATTGGCCCACCTCCTTCTCTACCGCCAGATAGGAATAAAGATGATGTAAACTGCAGAGGGCATGGAGAGAGGACTGGAAAGGGACTACATCTTGTTCAGGCCAAGGCCAAGACTCAGGTGAAAGAAAATACATCCTCCTTACACTTTGGGGATCCCAGAATAGAGAGCTTGTGTCTCATTCCCATGTTAAGTCCCACCCAAGTCCTAAAGAGATGGTCAGTTTATGGAGAAAGTTTCCATGTTATTGTGGTGTCATAGCCACAGGGAAGATACAAGATAATGACATGTCTAGTTATGAGAAGTTCAGAGAGACCATCTTGAGTTTTTGTTGGCTCCAAAACAGTGTGGAAGAACTTCTGAAATTTCCCCTACCACCCCCAGTAGGATGTCAAAGTTAGCTTACAGAGGAAGAACTACTGAGCCTACAAAAATGTCACACAGACTGTACCGATGGGTTAGATGGGGACGGAGTGAAGACACCACAGCTCACCTTCCAGGGGACTCCCAGCTTGGAAGGAGATGTGCTTGAGACTCGGTGGGGAAACTTATATTTTGAGCAGGAGACCGGCATGAGACCAATACAGATGAAGATCAATAAGTGTTGCCCCCTGCTGACACTGAGCTTGTATTAGCCCTTAGAGCTTTACGTCAACCCAGAGAAGAAAGCGGAAATCCTGAGGGTTTCTTTTGTTTGGTTGGTTTTAAGAGAGATTCTTGGCATAGGGCACACACATTCTCCGGAAAGACAGAAAGCAAGAAATCACCCCCACCCCCCAGTGGGGATGGCCATGCTGCAGTCCTTCCTCCTCCATTCTCCTCTTGTTATTTTGGGCATGTACACACATGTGCCCATCGAGAGTTTTAAGCCACCAGGTCTGGGACTCAAACCACCGTCAACTATGTGGGAATCCAGTAACATAACCATTATGTCATCTGCTGGTCCCAGAAATACTGAATTTTAAACCTCGAATGAGGGCTAGCTCCATGGCCTGGTGGTTAAGGAAGTTAAGTCCCACATGGCCAACTGTGTAGTTTGAATCCCAGCCCAGCTGCCTGAAAAACACCTAGGTGCATGTGTGTACATGCCCTCGAATCCTGGTGAGATGGAGAAATGGAGCAACTGGGATATGGCATGACCATGCTTCACTGCAGGGCACTTTCACCCTTTCCCTCTCTGTCTCTGTCTCTCTGGAAAGTGCACACACCCTTTGGGAAACACACACAGACACACCTCTAAAATAATGTAAGAAATGACTAAATTTCACTGAGGTTTCCATTTACTACACCAGCCAAAATGAGAGCTTCAGACTGAAATGAAGTTCAGTAGTAGAAACATTTTAAATTATATTTGGCACCCTGAGTTTGCGCCAACAAAATTCATATCCATTATGGTGATTTTTAAGTCACTTGCAAAATTTTAGTCAAATTCACATGAAGTTATTTCTGTATAAAACAGAAGCTATGTGTTGGAATGGCTTTAGCTTAATAAATCTCTGTCTATTTAGGCATTGAAGGTAAGGCTGTGACAGATAGAAGAGGCGTTTTTCTGGGCATCCGAATATTTATTTATTATTCCTTTAACCTAGTGTTTTTCAAAAGATGGATGCAGTACCACCTGCCTCAAATCACCTGGAATATTTGTAAAAATTTAGATTCTCCAGCCCTACCCTAGACCCACTGATTATGAAATATGGGAGTGTGGAAATCAGAATTTTAAAAAAAAGAATAATTAATTTAATTTGTTATTATCATTTGCTATAAGATACATGGACTCACCAGAGAGACAGAGAGAAGCAGGGTGGGGGAGTGAGAAAGCAAGCTGCCAGGTCTGGAATTTGGACCACAGTTGGCCATGTGAGAGTCTAGCACCTTAACCACCATCCACCTGCTGGCCCCAGAAATCAGATTTTAATAAGACTGTTTAATTTTTTAAATAACTACTTAATTTTATTTATGATTATGATTATGACAACCTAGGATGGCTAAATCAAGCTAATTATCTAGCTAACCAACATAGTTACCATTTTTTTCATGTGTGAAAACACTTTAAAAATCTACTCTTTTTGGGACCAGCAGTTAGCATAATGGCTATGTCGCTGGACTCCCATGTAGTCGACCACAGTTCGTGTCCTGGATCCGGTGGCTTAAAACTCACGCTGGGTGCATGTGCGTGCGTGCCCCAGATCCCAAGAGGAGAATGGAGGAGAAGGGATTGCGGTGCGGCCATCCCCCCTGGGGGGTGATTTCTCGCTTTCTGTCTCTCTGTCTCTCTCTCTGTCTATCTGGCGGACACACGCACCCTATAGCAAAAACCTCCCCCCCCAAAAAAAAAATCTACTCTTTTTCTTTTTAGAGAGAGATTTCTGCTCTAGGGCACATGTGCTAGCCAAAGAGACAGAGGAAAACAGAAAGGCAGTAAGCAAGAAATTATCTCCCAGGAAGGATGGCCACACTGCAGTCTCTTCTTCATCCTCCTCTTAGGATTTTGGGGTCATACACACATGTGCCCAGTGTGAGTTTCAAGCCACTGTGTCTGGGATTTGAATCTCGTTCGGCCACATGGAAGTTCAGCAATGTAACCATTACGCCTTGTGCTGCTTCCAAAATCTACTCTCTTAACAATCTTCAGGGGCCAATAGATGGCATGGTGATTAAGGTACTGGACTACCACATGGCCAACCATAGTTTGAGTCCTTGACCTGGTGACTTATACTGGGCACATGTGTGTGCATGCCCCAAATCCCAGGAGGCGATGAAGGAGAAAGGATTGCAGCGTGACCATCACCCCCCAGAGAGTGATGTCTCACTTTGCCTCTTGTCTCTCTCCAGTGAGTGCACTTGCCCTATGGCAAAAATCCTACAAAAACAAAAACAAAACAAACTACTTTCTTAATAATTTTCGAGTATACAGTATATTGTCACCCTATTGTATAATAGAGCCCTTAAACATATTCCTCTTAACTGAAATTTTGTATCTTTTGACCAACTTCTCAATCCCTACACCGTGGCACCAGCAGATGGCATAATGGCTACGTCACTGGATTCCCATGTAGTCAACCATGGTTCAAGTCCCAGACCTAGTGGCTTAAACTCACACCGGGTGCGGGTGCATGTGTGCCCAACATCCCAAGAGGAGAATGAAGGAAAAGAGATTGTGATGTGGCTATCCCCACCCTAGGGGGTAATTTCTCACTTTCTGTCTCGATGTCTCTCTCTTTCTGGTGAGTGCATGAGCCCTAAAAAAAAAAAAAAAAAAAAAACCCTCTACCTCTCAAAAAAAACCCAAAAAAATCAATCCCCACACCCTCAGCCCCTGGTAACCACCATTCTACTTTAGGTTCTATGAAGGGAACTATTTTAGGTTCTACATGCAAGTGAAATCATGTGATATTTGTCTTTCTGTCCCTGGCGTATTTAACATAATGTTCTCCAGGTTCATCCATGTTGTTGTAAATGACAGGATTTCCTTCTTTTTATAAACTACATTTTCTTTATTCAGTCATCAGCTGACAGATACTTGGGTTCACCTTTCATTCTTAGTCCTGTATCTTCTCTAATCAACCCTTAAACCTATAATTTCTCAAGTCTCCTCATTGACCGAGTTCTGGACAAAACATTTTGGAAAACCAGAGTGTAACACATGAAAGATACTCTTGAAACTCACCCCGTCATGCCGACTGTCCCCAGAGCCAAAGACAGTGGTAATGTATCCGGCCATTCTGTAGGTAGCTTTTCCAGGTCTTTCCCATCAGAAATGGAATGTGTTGTCCAACCTGAAGAAGCCAGGACAACAGTCCCTGTTGGCCAGGCTGAGTTTTTACTTTCCACAACTCTAAGAGATAAAGCACATTGAGACATGAGACACCCCTTTCCTTTCCAGAGAGTTGGGATGCTGTGTGGTTTTCAGGTTCACAAAAGGGCACTAAGATCGATATTCCATTACTGATATTCTATCCTATCTATCTTAATTCATAGCCATTGGCACAGGGGCCATCAGAAAAGAAACCTTTCAGCTTGTCCAGCCTCCATCCTATCCTTCCTTACCCACTATTCTTTTGCAGCAAAAGCCATCCATCCTCTGATTCAAGATGCTCTGATACCAGTCTCATCTTTTCTTCAGGCCACCCTCCATCCCTTAGCTCTCTTCTCTCCTGAATCTTTAATATTTTCCTGTCAGTTGCTATCCTAATTTCTAAGAAGTGTCCTTTTTGGGGCCTGCAGGTGGCGTAGTGGTTGGGGGCTCTGGACTCCCACATGGCCGACTACAATTCGAATCCCAGACCTGGTGGCTTGCTTTCTCACTCCCCCCGCCCCTCTCTCTCTGGTCAAATTAAAATAAATAAAGTTAAATAAGGTAATTCTTTAAAAAAAGACTTCACTTAAAAATAGAAAATATAAATACTATCTTCACTTAAACTATATCAAATCTTAGTTTCCTTAGTAAATTATTGAAAGAAGAATATAATATACCCTCCATTTAGTCTAACTTGTTAAATTTTTTGTGTGTGGTACCATCTGAAGAGATGCTGTTTTAAAACCTAAAGCTTCTATCTTTAATATCATTAGGAGTTTATATCGTACAGATTCAGAACTCCTCCAAAAAAAAAAAAAAAGTGTCCTTTAAAATTTTTTTATTGGGGACCAGCAGGTAGCATGGTGGGTAAGGCGCTGAACACTCCCACATGGCTGACCAGGGATCAAGTCCTGAATCTGATGGTTAGCTTTCTCACTTCCTCTCTCTTTCACTCTTACCCTCTTGTCTCTCTCTGGTCAAATTTAAAAATAATAATAATAATAATAATAAAAAGAATGAATAAATAAAATAAATAATTGTTTTCTTTTTAAAAAATTGTATTTATTTATTTATTTATTTATTGTGATTTTCAAGCCACCGGGCCTGCCTGGGATTTGAATCGCAGTCAGCCATATGGCTCAAGTCTGCCATTTTATAATCCCACCCTCTATCCTCCTCCCTCCTTCCACCTTTAGAGCTGAACTTCACTTCCTAGTCACTTGCTAACCTGCTGCAACCTGCCTTCCACCCCTAATTCTCCACCAAAGTCAACAACCTCCTGATTGCAAAATCCGGTGGCTATGCTTTCTTCATTACCTGTTGTTACCTTTCCTCTCTATTCAACACTATGTCACCCCAATGCTTCCTCCACTGTTTTCCAGGTTACTGAACTCCCCTGTCTTTTTTGTCTCCCCCTCTAAGTTGACCCTTTTGTCTTATTCACGGATTCCCTTCCTTTCATCTTCTCCCACTCTTATTCTTTATTGTCATCTCCCCAGATCATAAAATTACACAACACAGTGATTCTAGAAAATTTTTAAACATAAAATAAAAATATCAGTTCTAATCTTAGAATATAAAGGTAACTGCTAATATTTTTGTGTATTGTAGGGCAATTTTAAAGATATATTTAAAATGTAAACTATACATATTTACATACTTGATGTAATTATATATATTTTATAATTTAAGTTTTCTCTCAACACTATACTTATATTTTTTCCAGGCCCAGCAGGTGGTATGGTAGTTAAGGCACTGGACTCCCAGATGGCCCACAGTGGTTTGAGCCCTGGACCTGGTGGCTTTAAAATCACACTGGGTACATGTGCATGCATGCCCAAGATCCCAGGAGGAGAATGGAGAAGGCATTGTGGTGATTTCTCACTTTCCCTCTCACTGCCTCTGTTTCTCTCTCCAGCGAGCACGTGCACCCTATAGCAGAAACTTCTAAAAAAAAAAAATTCAGGTGATAAGGGACCTTTCAGTTTCCAAGATAAAACTATTTTTATTTGAATTTTTAGATTAATCATGAAGTAGATGAATACTTTCTATTTTTAATCATCAAAAATGAGGACGGCAAAGTAAGGCTGAAATGATGACAATTTCCCATCCTTGTCTTCCTCCTGATTAGTCACGAAGGAAAGGAAGAAAGCAGGATTTCCCGAGTTGCTTCCGACATCACACAGGCTGTGGAAATCATGGGCAATCATGGCCAGAGACAGAGCCCAACAGAAGGTAAAGAAGGCAATGTATTGGGCCAGCAGGTGGCATAGAGGTTAAGGTGCTAGACTCCCACATGGCTGACCGCAGTTAGAGTCACAGACCTGGTGGCTTGCTTTCTCACTTCCCCCCACCCTCCGTCAAGCTCGTCTGCCCTATAGCAAATTTTAAAAACAATATAATAAATAAATAATTCTGAAAAGGAAAAAAAAAAAGGCAACATATTTTCCAGCACTGGACAAATGGGATAATTACCTGGCCACTTGTTGTCCCATCATCATATCACCCTCCTTCAGTCTTTTGCCTGCCACTCTGAAAAAAATGTAAACATCCCATTCTGAATACAAAAGAACATCTGGGGAACATGGTCTTGAATTTCTTTTTGTTTAAATTTATTTTATTAATTACTTTAATTTTATTCATCGTAATCATCATTATTACTTTAATTGAACAGAGAGAGAGGGAAATTGAGAAAGCAAGCTGCCAGGTCTAGGACTAGAACCATAGTTAGCCATGTGAAAGTCCAGCACCTTAACCATCATGCCACCTGTCGACCCCCATATCTTGAATTTCAAGCTGAATGAAAAACCGGTAGGTAAGTATGTGCAGAGAGGAAACCCAGATACACAAGGGCAGTACAAATAGGTGCAATGTAGGAGGAACGCTGTTATAAGTAATTCTGCCCTGGAACCCCAGAGAAGCATTCCAAGAGTACTTTTCTATGAACAGGAGAATCTTTCCACCGTATTTAATTGGAGACAAGTTTCTGCCAATGACTTAAAAATATAACCAGGCACCACTGCGCACACGTTACCCAAACTCTAGCTACACAGAAAGGGATGCTATTGGGCCGTTGGAAAAGTCAAGACACATTTTTGTATAGAAAAATGTCTTGACTTTTCCAACAATCCAACAGTTTAACATTTTAAAACTTTATTGTTCCCTTGAGATCTGAATCTTTTATCAATCAGCTATGAAAAAAATATTTAAAATAAAGCTTGGGACCAGCAGTTGGTGTAATGTCTATGTCGCTGGACTCCTATGTAGTCAAGCAGGTTCAAGTCCCAGACTCGGTGGCTTAAATTCACACCGGGCGCATGTACGTGTGTGCCCAAGATCCCGAAAGGAGAATGGAGAAGAGATTGTGGCATGGCCATCCCCCCGGGGGGTGATTTCTCACTTTCTGTCTCTCTGTTTTTCTGGTGAGCACACATGCCCTATAGCAAAAAACCTCTCCAAAAAAAAAAAAAAGGAAGGAAAGAAAGCTATATTATTTACCTAGGCAAAAAAATTATTGAGACATTAGTGGCCCATGAAGACCTTTTATTTCTTCTCATCTTTGAGTTGTTTACCAAGTGTCTAAATTTGAGTCAGCTACAGATGGCCTAAATTAAAAGGAAGCAAGTCAATGGAAGGCAAGAAAAGCTGATTTTAGCCTTAGTAACTTCCTCTACCCAAATTATTTGCCAGTGGTGTAATGAACAAATTGGGGTTTAACTTCATTTTTGGTCACTTTTTTTTTTTTTTTTCTGGAAGCAGTTCTGGTGGACAATGAAGGGAAAACTACATCGGAGATAGCTGTAAAATAAAGGGACCAGGGTAACCCTCCACCAAGCTTTGCACACTTAGCCTGCAAAAAATGAGCATCTGTGAAACCCCTTAGTGATACTACTGGGAGAAACAGAAAAAAATGACAGGGTTTTGAGTCAGGTATTTTAAAAAGAGAACTACTTCAAAATAGCAGCCAAAGCCCAATACAAGCGTTTCTAGGACCAAAATAATACCTCATGTAAGGATCCACAGTGAGGAACAGAGCTTCAAGCAGGACCTCTACAAAATAAAGCATTCCATAGGCAGTTAGAAATGCAAGGCATGACACCATGTTGCTTTGGCATTCTAAAGAAACGCAGATAATATTTCTGCTTCCAGTTTCCCTTCTCTTCTGTGCTTTGTATTGAAGAGACAAGAAAGGTCCTCACATTTGGCCCAGCCCACTTCATAGTATGTTATTTATTCAATACTCACTCCATGCTATATATGAATTTCATTTGATGTTCTTAACAACTACTATTTCCATTTTATTAAAGATTAAGCTACATAACTTGCCCACAGCTATACTTATAATCATTATGTTACATGGCTCAAACAAGAGTCCATTACCAGGGGCCAGCAGGTCGGTGCTGGACTCCCACTTGGCCTACTGTGGTTTGAGTCCCAGACCTGGTGGCTTGCCCTCTCTCTCTCTCTCTCTCTCTCTAGTGAATGCACATACCCTGTAGCAAGTTTAAAAATGATGATGATAAAATAAAAATTAAATAAATAATTCTTTTAAAAAAAATTTTTTTGGAGAGGTTTTTGCTATAGAGTGTGTGTGCTCGCCAGAAAGACAGAGAGAGACAGAGAGACAGAAAGAGAGAACTCACCCTCCCAGGGGGAGTGGCCACGCCATAATCCCTTCTCCTCTATTCTCCTCTCAGGATCTTGGGCACACATGCACATGCACCCAGCGTGAGTTTAAGCCACCAGGTCCAGGACTCGAACCACAGTTCACTACATGGGAGTCCAGCAACATAGCCATTACACCAACTGCTGGTTCCATTTTAAAATATTTTTAAAAATAATTATTTCATTTAACTTTATTTATTTATTATTTTATTTTATTTTATTTTAAAGAAAGAAAGAAAGAAAGGAAGAAAGAAAGGAAGAAAGGAAGAAAGGAAGAAAGGAAGAAAGAAAGAAAGAAAGAAAGAAAGAAAGAAAGAAAGAAAGATTCCATTATCAGTCCCAATTAATATAAAGAATACCCATTTTGCTTGGATAGCCCTAGTACACACATTCTCAGGTATTCTGGATCCAAACTATGCCCATCATAGCTTAGATGGGGCTGATAACTCTGCTATGTTTTCTCTCTTTCTCTCTCTCTTTTTATTTAGAGAGAGATTTTTGCTAGAGAGCATGACTGCTTGCTGGAGAGACAGAGACAGAAAGCGAGAAATCACCACCTGGGGGTGGCCACACCGCAATGCCTTCTCCATTCTCCTCTTGGGATTTTGGGCACAAGCGCACACATGCCCAGCATGAGTCTAAACGACAGGTCCAGGACTCGAACAGTGGTCAGCCATATGGGAGTCCAGCGATGTAAACTGCTACACCGTCTGCTGGTGTCCTTTCTCTCTTCTTTTCTTTCTTTTTTATTTTATTTTATTTTTCTTAAGAGAGATTTTTGCTATAGGGTACATATGCTTGCCAGAAGACAGAGAGAGACAAGGAGACAGAAAGTGAGAAATCACCCCCCAGGGGGGATGGCCATGCAGCAATCCCTTCTCCTCCATTCTCCTCTTGGGATCTTGAGCTCTCATCTTTTTCACCCTCATATACAATGGTCACGTTGTCGCTTCTCCATTTCTCCCTCCTTTCAGAACTTGGCATGCACACACATGTTTCCAGGTCCAGGATTCAAACCACACAGCCTACCATGTGGGATCCAGCCACCTTAACCACCACATCATAGGCTGGCCCTTTCTCTCTCTCTCTCTCTCTCTCTCTCTTTTTTTTTTAATATTTATTTATTTAATTCCATTTGTTGTTATTATTATTTTTTCATTTTAATTTGACTAGAAAGGGGAAAGCAAGAAAGCAAGCCACCAGGTATGGGACTCAAACCATGGTCAGCCATGTGGGAATCCAGTGCCTTTAATCACCACACCACCTGCTGGCCCTTCTCTCTCTCTCTCTTTAAGAGACAGGGTCTTGCTACATAGCCTAGGCTGGCCCTGAACTTAGGATCTTTCTTCCTCAACCTCCTGAGTAGCCAAGATTACAGACTCATACCACCACACCTGCCTTTGCCATGTTTTTAATCACATCTCCTTCTCACAAAACTTACCTACCTGTAAATACCCCTTATAGACACCCCTTACTATCTGAGCTCTGCTCATGGCTGCTGGGCAGTGCCAACTCCATAGTTATCATCAGGCCAGGACAGAGAGGATATCTGCCTCATAGTCTGACTAAGGCTATGAAGAATAATTCACCCTAGCATGAATTTCAATGATCAAAGATCCTACAATATGACCTTTAATCATTCACACACAGGATTCTGAAATGGTCTCTGTGACAGATTGCAAAATGACTGCAATTATCTCTCATCCCATATGTTGGCCTCTTTGCCATTCTTCCCATCAAAAAATTCTGTTTCCAGGGAACCAGCAGTTAGCGTAATGGCTATGTCGCTGGACTCCCACATAGTCACCCGTGGTTCACGTCCCGGACCCGGTGGCTTAGAACTCACGCCGGGCGCGTGTGTGTGCGTGCCCAAGATCCCGAGAGGAGAATGGAGAAGGGATTGTGGCGTGACCATCCCCCCTGGGGGGTGATTTCTCGCTTTCTGTCTCTATGTCTCTCTCTGTCTGTCTGGCGAGCGCACACGCCCTATAGCGAAAAAAACTCTCCAAAAAAAAAAAAAATTCTGTTTCCAGACCAGCTCTGTGGCCTGGTGGTTAAGACAGCGATCCTACATGGCCAACCTTGCAGTTCACTGAGTCCCAGACTCCGTGATTTGAGAAACATGCCAGCTGTGTATGCCTGCATCCCCAAGATCCCCAAAGGAGGGAGAGAGAGAGAAGAGAAGGGATTGATGCATGATTATTCCCCATAGGCAATGCTCTCTCTTCTTCCTCTGTCTCTGCATCGCAAGCACATGTGCCCTTTAGGAAAGAAAGAAAAGAAGGAGGAATGCAAGGAAGGAAGAACGATTCAAGTCCCCTTGAATCTGGACTTGGCGATGTGACTTTTATCGTCGAACATAAGGAGGGCTTGAAAAGTGCTCGCACATTGGAGCTTACCAACTCCTATGGCACAAGATCTGTGGGAGAACAGAGAACTGAGGCACGCACCTC